CCCTTGCAGCCTTGTATGCCGTGCAAGTGTTCTATAGCTTCTTCATCATGTAAGTTTTCTCTTCTGCCTGTTGTTTCAACAGATTAGATGCTTAAAGGTGCATAGGCTGCTGTTCATGACGTATAATGGGTTCGTCATGCTTGCAGTTGCCGTTGGTGCTTTCGTTGGATATCTGGTCTTTGGAGATAACCAGTCGGCCGCTAAGACGGTTGCTTGTCATTGATTCCGGATGATGGTTGGATCATCCCAGTGTGTGAAGGCGCCAGATTGCCCAACAACAATTTGTGCTTAAGAGGAATATATATGCTTAAACCGTATTGTGACAACCCCAAGCGAATGGGAGTGACTMAAGGGACTTCCACGTCGCTTCCGTCATCCCCAAAGCCGAAACTGAATCCACCTGCTTCAGAGGCGTCTCCGGCGCCCTCCTGGGCCACCTTTCCGTGGACCAGCTCATCCCACTTGCGCTTCCTGCCATCCGACTTTTTCTTCAACTCGTCCAACGCCTGCTGGAGTAACTCGGGATGAGTCTTGCGCATGTTCTCCACAAACCGCTCGTAGGGGTTATGCACGTCTTTTCTGAACCCAGAAACCTGATCGGCCTTGTTAGACAAAAAGTCAAGGGTAGCAGTCAAATGCGCACGCGGAGTGAAATTCTGCGTAATAGCAATGGAAGGTTCGAGATTCACGACCAAATGCCACCATCCTGAGGGCACATGGAGAATTTCCCCTTCGCCACAGATACCTTCAATGCAGCCAGGTGTGCGCCGTGCCTCGGCATGGAAGCCAAGCAGCCATTCTGCAATGCTCAGGGGTGATGTGACTTCGCTCTGATCGTCCGAAACAAAGACACCAGGCGGGGGTGGTAGTTTCGATGACGAGGGAAACATGATCCAGTACTTGGAGCCGCGAACAACCGCGTTCCAGGCGCTGGTCGCATTGGGGTCCTTATGAAACGTACTGCCTGATCGTTCAGGGCCAATAATAAGCCACTGCCTATCCGGCCGGTCATTCCCCAGCACAGAGAAGAAGTCTTCTCCAAAGCAGGGAGGAGGCCAGTAAGTCGCTTCAGGTTCCTCGTCCGGTGGTCCAACCTTGAGCCCCATTTTCGACACGAAGGCCCGGTCAAACAGATACAAAGGAGACTCATCTGCGTTGTTCCTCATGTAATCCACGTAGGTGCTCAGCTTCCAATCCACAGCCTCGGCACGAAAGACCGTATCTCCGTATTTGGCAAGCAGTGAGTCTACGGACCAGTGCTTGTGAGCCGGCCATTGCTTCACTGGCTGGGTCAAAATGAAGGGCTTATCGGACCATTCCGCTTGGAAATCCTCCGGAGAAAGGTCCGGAAGACGGGTGATCTGATTTCTCGAGGGAATATTGTTCACGTAGGTGTCCAGGGAGATGTGTGCGCAATAGAATGGACGATGAAGAACATCAGAAAACAGACTTGAGCAGTCCAATATGGCAGCTTTGGACGGAGGCAAGTTGAGATAGGTCGAACGCCATGTTCCTCTCCATGTGAACGACGAAGGGGGAGACCTGAAGATTGCCTCTTAGTGAAAAGTCTCAAGACTACTAGATTCTAATGTCTAGTGATCATGTCTAAATATACGAAGATCTATGTATCCTTACCAAATGAAAAGAGCCTTCCACAATTCCTCCGCTCTTGTAAATGCATAAAAGGCCTTACAGGTCCTCCCGAACCGCAATAGACTTGGACCATCCAGAGACTCTAGCAGCATCAAAATCAACTCATCCGGCAGAAGATTGAACGTCCCAATCGCATGACGGAGATTCTCATTGGCAAGTAGAGCGTTGCCACTCGGCTTTACGCCTAGCGGATGACAGGGGATTGCATCATGACCAGTCAGATCCTGAAGGCTGTCATCTGCCGAGAAAGAGCGAGAATCAGTCTCACCCCCAAGTGGGTGATTCTGCAAAGATGTAATGTCAGGCATTTGACTTCCTGGTAGCCAAAACCTCAGTGATCGGATCTGACACTAAGAATGGGAGGAAGTGTATAACGAAAACAAAGTACGGGGTACTCCGGATATACGGGGTAGTCCTGAGAGGTTCCGGAAGCTCTATATCAGAGAACAAACGGAACGAAAGTCATGATAAAAAGAATGATAATTGCATCCTGCACGAGAACATTCTGTGCCCTCTACAGTATCAAAATCACCACCACTCACAAATCACCAACGGCAAAAAAATCTCCCACGAGGCAAATCATGAAGCCCGAAATGGCAGGCGGTAGATGTGGGTTGGGCAGAATTGGCGCTAAACAGGAAAAAATCAAAAATTTCGCGGCTTCACCAAAAAGAGACAAAGGAAAATCTTTTTCTCCCTCTTCTTCTCCAGCCCACATCACTACTACCCAGTGAATCCATCTTCATATCTTACTATCTCAACTACCACCATCACTACTTTACTAGTTCCTAAGAAATCTCCTTCGCGAGAGTCGTGGTTCTAGTCTCTAAAAGTATCTATTAGGGACTCTCATTACTCTCAGATCTCTGCGACTACCACCCCCACTGGGCCTTGTCGCTAAGAAACTTCCAAGTTCACAACCAACACCCCACTGTTTCATCGATCACAGCTTTTCGCCTGTGATCACCACCTACTACAGTCGCAATCATGGCTTCTAACGATAAGGGTTTGGAGGAGATCCCCGAGGGTATGTTTAAATGTCATTTTTTTTTTGTGTTCTAGTCAGCTGTGGTGTTACGGTGTCGCTGCAGACATTTTGTGGCGTCGCTTGCTGCCGAAAAAATTTGGCAAAAGATTCAAGACTGACAATACTTTCCAATTTTAGGACAGATCGAGTCCAACTACGATGAGATCACCGACTCCTTCGACTCCATGGAGCTGAAGCCTGAGCTGCTTCGCGGTATGTTTCACTCTTCTCAACCCGACGATATGGCGGGGTATTTGTGTAGCATGTATTGACGACATCTTCCCCAGGTATCTACGCCTATGGTTTCGAGCGTCCCTCTGCTATCCAGCAGCGTGCCATCATGCCCATCATCAAGGGTACGTTTTTCCTAATACAGCGTCTGGAAGCGCCGTCATTAATCTGGAAATCACAGGTAGCGATGTTATCGCCCAGGCCCAGTCCGGTACTGGAAAGACTGCCACTTTCTCCATCTCCGCTCTGCAGAAGCTCGACCCCAACCTCAAGGGATGCCAGGCCCTCATCCTTGCTCCCACCCGTGAGTTGGCTCAGCAGATTCAGAAGGTTGTTGTCGCCATCGGTGACTTCATGAACATTGAGTGCCACGCCTGCATTGGTGGTACCAACGTTCGTGAGGACATGAAGGCTCTCCAGGAGGGTCCCCAGGTCGTTGTCGGTACCCCCGGCCGTGTCCACGACATGATCCAGCGCCGTGTCCTCCGCACCGACAACCTGAAGATGTTCATCCTCGACGAGGCCGATGAGATGCTTTCTGTGAGTTTCCTTTGCCCATATTTCGCCCCGACGTCTATTCTAACGTGATATACAGCGTGGTTTCACCGAGCAAATCTACGACATCTTCCAGCTCCTTCCTCAGTCCACCCAGGTCGTCCTGCTGTCTGCTACCATGCCCCAGGATGTCCTCGAGGTTACCACCAAGTTCATGCGCGACCCCGTCCGTATCCTGGTGAAGAAGCAGGAACTCACCCTGGAAGGTATCAAGCAGTTCTACATCGCTGTCGAGAAGGAAGAGTGGAAGCTCGACACCCTGTCCGATCTCTACGAGACCGTCACCATCACCCAGGCCGTCATCTTCTGCAACACCCGCCGCAAGGTCGACTGGCTCACTGACAAGCTGACTGCCCGTGACTTCACTGTCTCTGCCATGCACGGTGATATGGAGCAGGCTCAGCGTGATGTTATCATGAAGGAGTTCCGCTCTGGTTCTTCCCGTGTCCTGATCGCCACCGACCTCCTGGCTCGTGGTATCGACGTCCAGCAGGTCTCCCTGGTCATCAACTACGACTTGCCCGCCAACCGTGAGAACTACATTCACCGTATCGGTCGTGGTGGTCGTTTCGGTCGTAAGGGTGTTGCCATCAACTTCGTCACTGCTGACGATGTCCGCATGATGCGTGAGATCGAACAGTTCTACAGCACCCAGATCGAGGAGATGCCCATGAACGTTGCTGGTAAGTTCAACTTGTGGAGATCGGCGTTGATTGAATGTATGCTAACATCCTGTCAGACCTCATCTAAACGCCCCAATCCCGAGTTACCACCCGCATCTTTTACGGTGCGGCTCACGATCGCAGTATGCCAATAACGTGCCAAGGGTAAGCTGCGGTGGAAAAAGGCGTTTTTTAACATCGTTGCTTGTCTTTTGGCGAAGGAGAATCCTTTAAAAGTGGCTTTCTGTGTCTCCAGCTCTTCTTCTGCTGGCAGTGGATTGCGGAGGGTGCAGTAGAAGCAGCTACTGCACATCTTCGGAAGCTGCTGTTCATGGTTTCCTTTGTTTTCTAATGGAGATGCGTGACATGTTCCTGTGCTTTTTAACGCTGTAATTCATGGTTTCTCTTTTCCTGCATCACTTCGAGTTTGCCGTCTTTTTTCCTTACCATTTTGTGCTTGGCTGGCCTTGGTTGGTTAAGGATGCTGCTATCATGCTTAACCCGTCGGTTGAGTGGAAAGTGCTATTTGTTCATTCAGTTGCTTTTTCTTTCTGCTTCATGCACAGACAAGGCACTTTGGGTGGATGAATACATGATCATGACATGGAGGTGGTTTAATACCTGCAGTACCATAGATAGAGGTAAATGCCATTCCAATTGTTAAACTGAGCTTGTACTCTGTTCTTTTCTTTTCGATTACTATGACTTGTCAAGAATAGCTTATTATTGACTCGTTCAATCTAACCTCATGCAACACTCGCGTCCACCACCTGCTCACGCCATCGTCTATTCAGCCTTCAAAATACAAATTCCATGATACTGACCCAGCATCCCATCCTTGCCTAGAGCATCTCTCATCAAAACCACTCCGCATGGACAAAACGACGGTACGCGCATGGGACCCAACAGCCCCCTCCCTCCTCTGGGCTCACCAGATCCGCCGCGAGAATATCCACCTGGTCAACCAGCTCGACAGCACAAGAGCAGATCTCGCCGGCGCCATCTCAACGATCAACGAACTGAAGCAGCAACTGAACGAATTACGAGAACGCGCACAGACAGCTGACACCAGCCATGATACGTGCGACCGGAAGCTGCAGGACATTACAGGCAGAATTGAGACTAGGTTGGAGGATATCTCTAGTCGGATTGGTTCCCTTGAGCGTGAGAGTCGCCGCTTGAAAGACAAGCTCGATGGCATCGAACGGGGATGCAGTGAAGATGAATTGGGGAAGTCGATACAGAGACGGGTTCTGGATGAGGTTCGGGTTTGGTTTATGAGAGAAAAGGAGGTTCTACAAGGTAGAATGGGATGTCCACAGGGTGGTGGTAGGTGTTGTTTGATTTCCTATTGAGGTTGCATTTGTGACTCCCATATTCTTGCTGATCAAGGACAGGCTCGATGGGAGTCAAGCAGGCATCTCCAGATCCAGACATAGTACCCGATTCAATGCGTCTGGAGGAGTCTGCTCAATTCACTCGGAAAGACTCCTTGCGAACTCTCACTGAGACTACGTGGGGATCCGCGAGCCATTCGCAACGATCTTCGAGTCAGGTTGATCACGACCTGGGGAGAAACCGGATTCCCGAACACGATTCGGCTACGCTTCCGCACATCAGACAAGCCAGGCGAGATCTCGAAGCGTATCTTTCGTCCGTTGAGGACGTGCGCGCGCAGTTGCCTCCGCGAAAGAGAGAGGGCGAGGTCGTCGAGGCTTTTGTGCGGGGGCTTGATGATGCGGGGACGAGACGTCGAGTGGAAGACAAGATGGATAGAGCCGGGTGGTCGTGGGATACGCTGGCGAAGATAGTGCGCAACGAGATTGAAAGGCAGCACAAGCCGGCCCTGGAAGTGAAGCGAGCTGTCAAGGGGGATGTTGAAGAGCGGGTAGAAGTTATACAGGCTCCTGGTGAAGCCCACATGTCCAGACCACGTAAGAAGCAAAGGAGGTTCATTCCAATTGTGCCAGCAGATGAAGATGATTTGATAGTGTAAATGTACTTGAACTTGGGATGGTCTACAGTACGAATTGTGTTTGCAGGCATGTGTATATACAGCAGCTAGCCTTATATGCAGTGTCCCGTTAATACACGATATCACGTCTCACTGTACACATATCTGCCCTCGCGATCCTTTACCTCCACCTCAATTCTACCCTCCTCGATCTCCTTCCCGTCCACCTCGATGGATGCCTTCATCACGTCACCGGCCTTGACCTCTCCGACTCCCTTGGGGGTACCAGTCAGAACAAGATCGCCCTTCTCCAGCGTCATGACGCGCGAGATTTCTGCCAGCTGCCTGGGGATCCGGTAGAGCATGAGGCCGGTGGAATCTGCCTGGCGGAGCTGGGAGCCAACGCTGAGGCGCAAGAAGGCATTGTGGGGATCGGGAATGCGCGACTTGGGGATCTCTTCGGAAATGGGCAGGAATGTGTCAAAGCCCTTGGCGATAGACCAGGGAAGGCCCTTCTTCTTTGCCTCGTCTTGGACATTCCGGCCGGTCATGTCAATGGCGAGGAGGTAGCCTGATGCGGCGATTATATGTCAGTCTTTAGAAGCGGAGAGGCCAAGGGAAATATCTTTAAAGGGTACTGACTGCGAATCGCATCCAGAGCACCCCTCTCATCGTTCGGATCCAGATCCCGAACCGTCTTGCCCATCACAAGCGCCAGTTCCACCTCATAGTGCAGGCTGACTCCCTTGGGACGCAGAACGGGACCCTCGCGGGGCAGAAGAATAGAGGACGGGGGCTTCAAAAAGAAGAAAGGCTGCTTCGGCTTGGCGTTGTTGAGTTCTGTAATGTGGTCGCTGCGGGGGAAGCATTCGTTAAGCGGTGATAAAAGCTGTTTAGGGCCATCGGAGTACTCACGCATAGTTCCGGCCGATGCAAATCACCTTTCTGCAATTGGCTCTTATGGAGGCCGCCATTGCGAGGGAGATTGGGTGGGAGGAAAATGAAATCTTGCCTAGAGGCGCATTCGCTGTCGAGTTCCAATAAATAATGGTAGTCAAATCCCCATCTTGACATCAGCCGGGTGCATCTCCGCAATTCGCGGAGAGCACTCCGAATCTCCGAACTCGGCACTTCATGTCCGGAATAGACATCCCAATGCTGTCTATGAATTTATAATTATGCTAGTCGATAGAAGGGCGAAGCATACCATTAGAGCGAACAAGATGAACTCGAATCGGGTGCTTGAGTGTGAGGCCAATGAAAACACCTGATCACCATGCATGATCCTGCCAAGACATCGTCATCGTCCTGACCCTGATATCCAAGAAGAATATACAATCTCAACCACCAACTTAAACCTATCATACTCATCCATCATGCAGGTAGCAGAGATCCTCTCCGATCTGACCTCACTGCGTGTCTGCGTACGTTCGACCCCTCAAAGGCCTCAGCTTAATAGGTATAACATCTGAACCGAGACAGGACTATAATGATGCCCTTGCCCTAGTCACCGTCAACGAAAGTCTCAACGAGGCACGAGTATCACCAGATGACAGGAGCAAAGCTGCTGTCAGAAGGCGACAGCAGGAGCAGCAGAATGATGATCTCCGACGGGCAAAAGAGCTTGTTGATCTGCATTATGAGATGAAGACGAAATATGCGCTTGGCACTGTTGATGAGGAGCTTACCCGTGCTCGGGAGGAGGTGGACCGGGTCCTAAGGGAACTGGAGGATTGAGACTGTGCTCAGGGACACTTATTTCAGTCTACACGTTAAGGCTGCTACCACTATGATACCATGATTTGATGTTACAGATGACTGCCTGTTGATCGGGTCACGGTCACATATCTAGTTTGACTATCGGTATTTTCAGGGTCAGGGGCTTGCATCATTGCGTCCCTTGCATGGTCATACTTCACTCAGACACCTACCCAGTGCAATATGAGCGCTAAAGAATTAAGCATTATTCTCTACTCCGTACTTCTTCAAGGACCGAAGCTTGTCATTCACTTGGTGGGAATAGCTGCTGTAGTCGGCCCGACCTGGCCTCCGAAGTACGGGCACCTTTACGGCCACAAACGCAATTTTGAAGCATCATCGTCGCAGTTGCACGCGTTGTTCCTTTTCGCTCAGTCGCTCTTTTGGCTGTACCGCGAATCATCGCAGCTCATCCAGCAAATATGGCGTCCAGCATAGATGCCAAATTACTCAAACAGACCAAGTTCCCTCCCGAATTCAATCGGAAGGTGGACATGAAGAAGGTCAACATTGAGGTTATGAAGAAGTGAGAATCGACCCTTGAACGCAATTATCCGGAAACAGCTTTCCTAACGAAGGTGCCTGATTGTAGATGGATTGCTGGAAAGATCTCCGAGATACTTGGGAACGAAGACGACGTCGTTATTGAGCTCTGTTTTAACTTACTAGAAGGCTCGCGATTCGTATGTTTCCCTCGGCGTAAGTTCTGGGTCCGGAGCAGTTCACTGACCGGTTGCTTTACCACTTATAGCCTGATATCAAGTCTTTACAAATTCAGCTTACGGGCTTTCTGGATAAGGATACCGCCAAGTTCTGTAAAGACCTCTGGTCACTATGTCTCAGCGCTCAAGAGAACCCCCAAGGCGTCCCGAAGGAGCTCCTGGAAGCCAAGAAGCTCGAACTTATACAAGAGAAGGTAGGACTGCCAAACTGCTCAACCGGTTTTATATCCGATGCTGATACTATTTCCGCTAGATCGAGGCTGAGAAAGCAGCGGAAGAAGCTCGCCGCAAGAAGGAGCAAGAGCAAGCACGCGAAAGGGAGCTGGAAGAAATCCGGCGAAGAGAACGCTTCGATCGCAATCGGGGCAGGCGAGGTGGCGGTCGTGGGGGCAGAGACTTCGATAGACGGCCATACAGGGACAATCGATCGCCACCCAGGCGACGAAGCCGCGAGCGATTTCGTGATCCACCCTCAAGACGAGAGTTTGATTCTTACGTTCCCTCAGGTCCGCGACGGGGCCGTCGACCTTCAAGGTCGCCCAGCGCCTCTCCCTCTCGCTCTCATTCCATTTCCTCATCTCGGTCCCCGCCTCGTCGACGCCTACCAAGCAGAGACAGATACCGCGATAAACGTCGCCGCTCCGCGAGTGGCTCCGTCTCTCCAGAAAGAGGAGACCACAGGAGACCGAGAAGACGCAGTCCAGACTACGGTGATCGAGCTAGATCCATTTCCCGCAGTGATTCATCGCGCTCACGTACTCCCAGAAGAGACCGAAGGAGACGAACATCTGTCTCTTCCAGCAGTTCATCCCGTTCACCTGCTCCCCGCGACCGGCGCAGAAGAGAAGACCGATCCCGCTCCAGGTCAAGATCTAGGTCGCGAGGGCCGGATGAGAAGAGCAGCAGACGGAGAGGATCCTCACCTCATACCTCAAGAGCTGACAAGGATGAACCTACCGCTGATTCTGCAAAGGCCCACAAGTCCCGTGATGATCGCCGTTTGAGTCGCACCAGAGATCGTGATGATGAGCGCAGACGACGCCGCTCAACCAGGAGTGTCAGCCGCAGTCGAGGCCGTTCTCGCACTGGCAGCGTCAGTTCCAGACGTGCTTCTCGCAGCCGTAGCCGTAGCCACAGCCATGCAAGAGAAAGGAAGAGACGTCGCTCAATTGAGAGATATGCCCCTGCTGCCCGAAGACGGCGCAACACCTCTTCTGTATCTACACATACTGAGAAACGACAGAGGATGGCTGATCCAACCGAGGAATCCGCAAAGCGGTCGTCTCCACCTCCTGAGCAGCCGAGCTCGACAGATCACGAGACGAAGGATACTGAAGAGGTGGGTAACTGATTTCAGATGGATATTATACCCGATGGGTAAMTGGATTCTTGATGTTCGTTCCTTTGTCTCTTATTCCAATTCCCGCTCCCAAAGAACAATCCGGCTGACGAACTTAGCAGACTATTCACTCAAAATCGAATCGGCCGCGCATATCGAGCACGGAGTTGCGCGAGAAGCTTTTGCGCGAAAAGCTAGTTGCAATGCGCCGTACTGCCTCTCATGACAAGGTAGGTGGCAATACGATAGCGTCCAAGTAGCGTACGGTTGGAACATGAAGCAGGGTGATCAATAGACACCTTGACTAGTGTGATGTGGCTTACTAGTGATCTAGAGAAAGATAACTATGTGCCATTCGGAAATTTCTTGGTCCTGGAAATCTTCTCTTTTCTTCTCACTTATGGTTGTAATTTCGAATACGTGGGTGATGAATACCACGTGGAAGCTGATCAGCAGTAGTGTCAACCATGCGTCTGGTTGACCTTGGTTCGTGATCTGCACTATTTAATAATCCGGGTTATAGTACCTCTCTAAGTCAAAGTCAAATAAAGTCAAACTCAAACAACTGCACCCCGTTCCCCCCTCTTCCATCTGTAGCGGTCAGGAAGATCAACCGCCCAGAAGTGTCAATAATAACGATCATCGCCTTGCAGAGGCTCCCGTTGCACTCTTCGGAGCATATACGGAGTACTCCATCCTTTAGATATTATTCCGTGCTAGCTAGATACGGAGTATTCGAGTCTAGTCCCAATAATCCTGCCCCTAGGGTACTCCGTACATGCGTAGTTGCGTACTGTAGAGCGCAAACAACGAAGTATCTGGACCCACGATTGACGTGCATACCGACTGTCAAACCGTCGACCAAACACGTACTACCCCGTACTGCAATGATCAACGGCAGCCAGCAAACAGCAAACCCAGTTCCATGCATGCAAGCGTCTCAGGCCGCGTCATGCATGCAAGACTGCTAGCGCAACTTAACCTATCAGTACTTCTTCCTGTTTGCTTCCGGTTCTAGTTACAATCAGCGGTGATGAGCATGGCCGTGCTGATCGAAATGTCCTCTACGCTAGTGGCCCGCTCTCATGCTTCCTGCTTGAATCCTTGCCCTAGGCCAAGGGCTTTTGAAACGGTCGGTCGGGGAGATGTGAGGGAAGGTTGATTTCATCCGTAGCTAGCTGTCATTTATCGAGGGCAGTATCTGGGTAGGGGCGAGCGAGTGGAGAAGTACTCCGTATATTGATGCTTAGCAATGAAGCGAGAAGTGAGGGAATGATCGTATGGAGTAACAGAGGCAAGGTAGGGAAGTTATTTTAGACATTACTTTAGGCTACAGAGTAGGAAATTACTGTCTCACTTAACAAGCTGTTTGATATAAGTTTAAAGACCTGATCTATACCAGGTGAAAACTGTACTTCACGTGGTTGGCAATCAAGAAGAATAGAAATGAATAAGTGATATGGTGCCACGACGTCCGGCTCAACTTCGCGATCCTGATGAAGGGTATGGAACAGCAGAATTAGAATTAGAATTAGTTATATACAAGACTATTGCACCATTTCTCCCGTTTCCATCGTTTCATAAGTTGTTACTGGTCTTGACGAGCCAAAGAGCAAATCTAGTAGTCGCAGGCAGCAACGGTGACGGTGGTGGTGAGGGTGACCACCTTGGGGGCCTTAGAAGGCACCCCAGTAGGAGCAGCGGTGATGGCCGCAGCACTGCTAGAACCGGCCTCGGTCTTGGTAGCAATGGGGACAACAGTCTCAGAAACAGAGGTCTCGCAAGGGGTCTCGGTGGCCTCGGGGCCGGAGGGAACGGAACCGCCAGCAGGGCCGGTAGGAAC